TATTCAAAATAGACTTGCCCAGGCCGTGGTATTTTGTGGAAGAGCCACACTCAAGGGGCCAAAGAGCCTCATGTGGCTTGCGAGCCCCAGTTTGCTGGCCATGGGTCTATGAAGTTTTTCCTTTTCCCTTGACAAATAGGATCCTATGGCTAAATTAAAAGAAATACTTATTTGTAACCATTATCATATCCACCTCTGGTTTCATTTTGTTTGGTCTCAAATATGGTAGTTTTAATTGGTCTTTACATTTAGTTTTTAGTGAAGTTTAGTTAAAAAGTTAACATTGAAAAACTGTAAGAAGAGAGTGGTTGCTGAAAACAAAGATAAGGTTATTTATGAATATATGAAGTAGGATGTTACTAGAAAGTATTGACAGTAGTGTTTTACATTATGTGATGCAATAAAGATTTTACAGTTATTTTAACCAAGGTGCAGCAAGACCTCATCTCATAGTGGAATGTATTTAAAACAAAAGCATGTGGAAATGGTGAAGGCATATTCATTCTTTCAAAGTGTACGAGGCATAACACGTGTGCTCACATTATAGACCATCATAGAAGAGGTGGAAATCTATCAGTCCATAGCAAAAATGTGAATAAAACGGGTTTTACTACCTGTTTGGACTGGACAAATAATACAATTTATTTTAAGTCTGGTATTTTGTTCTAAATATAAAAGGTAAAATTAGGGAGAAAAAATTCATTCCTTTTATTCTGTAACCCATCTCATTTTATTTTGGGTTATTTGTATGTGCTTGATTATTTCTTCAGGGGAGCCTACTTATTCCCGGAACTGCCACTGATTTTGCTGACTTGACCTGGTAGGCTAGTCACGGAGTCCTTGCCTTCTTCTAGAGGAGCCCCTGCGTGAGGGCAAAAAAAGCAAGGTCAAAGGAAACCAGGTGTAATTAGACACGTTTGACATTTGGCCTCCCTCCTGCTATTGGGCAAGCACTTCTTAAGGCCCCAGGGCCCACTACGTTTAGTGCTACCCCCATTCAGGCAATGGCACTCAACCTCTCCCACGCGTGCCGTCCCCAATATTGTGTAAGGGTGTAGGCCAGGCCCTGACTCACAGGGTAGAGGTGGTTTGTATCCTGTGAGTCACCAGCACCACTTCCTGCTGGCGCAGTTGAGATTTCACTGAGACACAGTCTCTGAAAGGTGAAGGCAGAAGGATGAATAGGCGAGCTTCAGGATCCTAAAACCCATTTGGAAGTTTGACAGAAAAATTGGCCTCGAAAGGGATTTTGCTTTTTATAGCAGTGATGAAACAGAAGTTTCACCTGCTAATTTTGACTTCACAAATCATTTACCCCGTTTCACCTTGTGCAGAATTGCTCATGTTTTAGTTGCCAATGTGAACTTGCCACTAGACCTGTTTTCTGAGACAAGGGCACTATTCAAAATCTTTAGTATCATAGTGAATTATTTTCTTAGCAAGACTCCTGTTCAAGGATCCAGACCCAAGTAGTTGAATCTTGGAGAGATCATTATGTTCAAACTAGAGGACCAGTGTGCAAAAACTCCTGGTGGTGGTGGTGGTGCAGGGGGGCTGCCCCTTCTCACAGTCTGGGAGCCCTCAGAGGATGTCCTACCTGTGGGGAGAGGGCCTACACTGCAGTCTGGCATCCCTCTGTGAGAGGTGACAGGGCCAATCAAGAGAAAGTGCTTCCCCATAACCTCACCACTGCTGCTGTCTCTGGCCTCCCTTTGTGGAAGCGACTCCATCACCCCGCTGCTGCTGCCACTGCTGGCCATCATGGCTGCTGGCCCCGCCCCCATGCCCACTGATGGTGGGGGGCAATCTGGGGCCAAGCTGACTGGGGCAGGGGCTGGGGAGGTTGAGGCCCAGCAGGTCACACCCCATCCAGCCTCTGCGGAAGTGTGGTGCTGGGACTGGGCCCATTCTGCTGCCTCTGTGGCTGTCTTTGCTGAAGGGGCAGCACTGGGACTGGGATGGGCAGCCTTCTCCCCCACTGCCTCTGCAGCAGGGCTGATGTGCTGGACTGGCCCATGCGGTGGCCTCTCTCACACTGCAACCTCTCCATGCCCCTAGCCCTCTGCCCTCAAGGTCCTACGGCTTTGTTCAGAAGGATGTCCAGTAGGATGTCCGGTCTATCCGGTCTAATTAGCATAATACCTTTTTATTAGTATAACTAAAGTTATGCTGATAAAGTCATAAAAAACTGTAAGATTAAAGAAATATATGGATATGACTTTAGCATCTATTCCTTTTCTGTATGGCTTTAAAATAATGTGTAGTAATTCTTAAGGGTATAGGATAGTAGATATCAGAATCTTTCATGGTGGAGTTTTTCAATTTTTTTTTTAATCTTCTCCACTTACTCCTTTACCTTTACTCCAGTTTGCAAAGGTCTGGGGCAGAGGTGAGGTGGAAGGAAGCTTCAGAACCACTGTGTAAAAGCCAAAGAGCTGTGCAGATGAACACATGATTGAGAACTAGTTTTGCTACCTTTTTGGTTACACAGATTCACGATGGAACCAGAATCTACACACTTGTTTTTGAAAGTAGCATTTAAAATTATTTAGTTTCTTCTGTAAAACACCCGGATGTTGGATTAATGTCGTGAGTCTCACAGAAACCATCCTGAGCGATGGACTATGTCCAAGGGAGTGTCACAGGTTAGGAGAGCCCAGTTTTTGTGGAGGCACGCCCTGCACTGAACATTCTTTAATTCACAAAGACAAATATTTCACCTGTGGCCTGACCAAGTGGAACAAAGTGTCCAACTGTGGAAAAATTAACAACTGCTAAAATCCTAAAAAAAAAAAAAAAAAAAAAAAAGGAGAAGCAACACCCCCAAACAATTAGATGGATTCTAATATTGTTGCAGGTTGCAGCTGGAAGCAACCTCGAAGAGGAGAGGCTAGTTTCTGATTCCTGCAGAGGATAAAGAAATGAGCTTTAGGGGTACATTTGCACAATGGACTGGTTGGCCCTTTCCTGGTGAGAGAATTAGTAATGTTACCTCCAAGAACTCCTCAGTTGAAGAAATATGGAAGAATAGGAGGGTCAAGGATGTGAAAACACTTATTTAGAACTTCAGTTTGTGTTGAGCAGACTGCATACATTAAATTCTTCAGTCATTAAAGTACATGGCAAAATTATATTGAGATGTAGATCCAAATAAACTTGGATGAGATTCTAGCTCATTCTCCATGAGGACAAATTAATATTTTTCCATTTCTGTTCAACTGACAATGAAATCCAAACTTTAGCATTTTTTTTTTCTCACTAAAGAAAGATGTTTTCCCCCTCCCCCCTTATAATAGTAATTGAAGCAGGATTTACATTGTTGTAGAAATACAGAAGGGGGAGTTAGCTCTAAACTTCAAAAAGTATTTTCAGATCATTGAAAGATGATGAGGCTTGATGTTAGAAGTTGCATTTCTGATTCTTATCTTCTATGGTCACTGGATAATCGGTCTTGGACGAGACATTTAATTTAACTGCATTAAGGTTATTTGGGGCTAATAACTTTTTCACAGCTCTGTTAGAATGTCAAGTGTGAAACATTAAATTACAAACTATGATGCTGATGCAAAAACAAACAAACAAAAACCAAAAACCAAAAACAAACAAACAAAAAAACCCCCATACAATTTGCTTAATAGATACATGACTCCTTTGAGAAAAAGAAAATATTCTTGGAACAGACCAGTAGAGGGCACTGCCTGTATATCCTGCTAACACTAGAGACTAGATGTTGACTTTGAAGGAATATCTATGGGGATCTCTGGTATGTTAGGCATTATTTCAGAAAAAAAAATACAATTTTATTTAATTATCTAAAAAAAAACTAAGGGAGGGAACCACATTGCTCAAGTTTTCTCCCAGGATTGCCTTTTGCTGCCCCCCTCTAAGATTAAATAATCTGCTTCAATTACATGTTCACTTGTTTGCTCCATGTGATGTCGATTATACTCTAGCATTGTTTGTTTCCAAATTCTGCAAGTGCCTCATTCACAACAATACTATGTACCTTAGGAAAGTTGCTCAAACTCCTTATGTTTTAGTTTTCTCATACATCTAATAGCAACAATAGTATCTTCCTCTGAGTGTCAATAAGGGGATTAAATGAGATAATAAAGACAAGAAGGATAGAACCATGCCTGCATATAGTATATGTTCAAAATATGTTAACTGCTGCCAATGTTACTACTAACACCACCATTTATATTTATATTAGAATTACTCATAAGCATGGAAAGGGAAGTTGAAGTACCTGACTACTAAACAGATAAGACTAAACTCTCTTAAATAAATGCCAGTGCGATTAAAAGCATTCATCTTATGCTTTCTACATAATGAAGAAACTACTTGAGTCACTCTGGTGCCTGTTTTCCAATATTTACCATTTCATTGGAGATACAAGATGAAACACTCTGTTCAAATGCTTCCTGGGCTGACAGAAACTGTGTTCTATGGCTCAGTGTATGTGTGTACATTTCGAGTTAGATAAGATATATTCTGACTTTGCCTAGATTACATTTTACAATGCAAGAGTAATTTAGAATTTAGGCACTTAAGTTAACGAGGAATGTATCTTAGGTAGAGAGTCCTGCATAGTTGTTAGCATAAGTAGAACCTGATTCTTATTTGAATCATTCTTTTGTGATAGGTTCTTTCTTGGAGCATTGCTTCAAACATAACATGGAATAAAACATTAGAAATCATACAATTTTTGAATTTCTAAACTTCTTACGCTATCAAACTTCAAAATCAGGTCTTTGAAAGGTTCCTGTGAAATATCTGAAGCACGTTAAATCTGTAGCTAACTATGAATACAATGCCAAGGCTTTTCCCCTTGGACCTAAGACCTGGGGTTCATTTTCAATCATATGTCTGTTTCCAGGAATGATTTTTTTTATGGTTTTGATGGACCAAATTCCAAATGCTGCGTTGTTGTGGAAATCTGACCAAGCTTTTTTTCTTGAAGCATTAATTACATATTTGATTTTTTTTTTTATAAACAGGTTTTCATCTTCTACATATAGTTCTCGGAACCACTGTGATTCCTTCGTGTATCCCAGGAGAATCTGAAGACAACTGCACAGCTCTAGGTAAGCCCAATTTTATCAACAGTGCTAACATATTGTTAACAGAAAATGCAAACTCAAAGACTATAAATACATATGAAAGTGGGGGGGAGGGAGGAGAGAGAATAGCTACTGTGTTAACAAATTTCTTAACTCCCTTATAAACTAGCAACCTGGAAAACATACAAAGCAAAAATTGGAGGAAGAGGAAGAGGGACTGTGCTTGTAGTTATATGGGGAAATTTGATCTTGAAGAGATAAGGAACAAGAAAATCAGATTCCCTATAACCATTCCCCAGAGCTCTGCTGAGAATCCATTGTTACAGGCTGAGTCCCAGGCAAAATTAGGAACATTGAAACTATACACAGTAGATCATCAGTGCCTTTTCATTTTATTTTTGTAAGAGGGACAAGTGATGTTCTGTCTTTGTCGTCACAGCACTCATTCAGAAACATTCCTGGATTACTTACTATGTGACAAACACATTGCTTAGGCCTGGGGATGCACAGTCTTTCTCTCAAGGACCCCAGAGGTCTCTGATGTGTAGTCAAAGGTTGTTGAATTATTGAGTCATGGGTTATCCTGAGCTATTGAGCCCAATGTTATCTATGCTGAGGGATCAAGGTATTTTCCAAAAGTTCACTTTCTCTCTTATCTTCCTTCAACATTGTAAGCTCTGGAGGTTTGGTCTGCCTTCTTCTCCCTTTTTTTGATTATTTGAACAAGAGTATTGCGATCAAGATGTAACTTAAAAATAATTATGTCATGACCATTCTTCATGTTTTAGTAACTTAAAATATTCTGAAGTGAATATATAAGTTTCAACACTGTTTCTAACAAAGCTCCTGTTTTTATGGCTGTAACTGAGGCATCTGTAACCTGGGGTTTATCCAGTTCATGCTCAGACTCATTGTTAGATATGTTGGGAGGCTTTGATTGGTTTCTTTGATGGTAACCTCAACAATTCTGAAATGCACACCAGAGCAAACCTTGCTAGCTTAAAAGTCATGGTAGAACTGAACTATCTTAAATAAATTAATGTATTCAGCTTAAAATTGCTTTTGGAATAATGAATTTCAGAATTATTTTGAGATTTGAAAAAATTAGACTAATTTTGGTTCAGTGAATCATTATAAAAGGTAATAATGTGTGTGTGTGTGTGTGTGTGTGTGTGTGTGTGTCCTTCAACTTACCTTTTCTACCTTTACATGTTGTCATTTGAGAATTAAATCCCCAGGTTTGTCTGGTTTAGTCTGTTGGCCACTTTCTTTTGGATCAGTGTGTTGTGTCTATTGATAAGGGAGTGTGACACTAGAGTGACTCCGTGCTCCTGAAAATTCTTCTCTGCTGATTGGTACCTGACCTGCTTCGTTACAGTAGATCAGTGGTTACTATTATTAAAGGATGATTCACGCTTCCAAGAAGGCAATAGAATATACTCAACTCTCCATTTCCTTCACAGTGAAGACAGAAAACAGTCCACGTGTGGCTCAAGTGTCAATAACAAAGTGCAGCTCTGACATGAATGGCTACTGTTTGCATGGACAATGCATATTCCTGGTGGACATGAGTGAAAAATACTGCAGGTAATATCCCTAAACAAACAACAGACTCTTTTTTTTTTAACCTAGGTTTCTCTATCTTTTATTTATTGAAGTTATTCTACTAGTATATTTCCATGGGGAGTAGTTTATATGTACTACAAGCATACAGTTTATATGTCCTATTAAAAGCTCTATTAAAATGTCAAAACCAGTTTGGCTCAGTGGATAGAGTGTCAGCCCATGGACTAAAAGGTCCCAGGTTGGATTCTGGTCAAGGGCATGTACCTTGGCTGAAAACAGTTTGGCTCAGTGGATAGAGCGTCGGCCTGCAGACTGAAAAGTCCCAGGTTTGATTCTAGTTAAGGGCATGTACCTTGGTTGGGGGCACATCCCCAGTGGGGGGGGGTGCAGGAAGCAGCTGGTCAATGTTCCTCTCTCATCGATGTTTCTAGCTCTCTATCCCTCTCCCTTCCTCTCTGTAAAAAATCAATTATATGTAAAAAATTTCATATATATATATATATATATATATATATATATGAAAAGCTCTATTAAGAAAGGTCTTTTTTTTAAATTATGAAGCAAAGAGTAGTGGTTTTCAAATTGTACAGATACTTCAGGGGTACAGACTGGGGAGGGCTTCAGCTGCCTCCCTCTCACATGTGCCACAATAGCAGCTCAACTTCTAATCTTGCCACTGGACTTACATTTATCAACCTCTGTTTTGGGAATTGATTCCACTGATGTAGACAAGCACTTCAATCCTGAAAAACTTACAAAACCCTATTCCAGATGGACAGTCAGCGGGCCGCTGCACCGGACTGTCATTTCCATGCCACAGTTCAGCGTGAGAGCAATGAGGGGCTCTTTGTACCTTGTGGCCTGGTTCTAGGTCAGTCTTTGATGACCTGCTTTTCATCTTTTGCCAAACCTTGTTGATTTCTTGCATCATAGTATGAGATTAGTGCTTACAAATCTAAGCTATAGCCATGATTTGAGAACATTTATTGATCTTTCTCTTGCATTTTTTTAGGTGTGAGGTGGGTTATGCTGGTGTGCGATGTGAACACTTCTTTTTAACGGTCCAACAACCCTTGAGCAAAGAATATGTAGCTCTGACCGTGATTCTTATTCTCTTCCTTCTTCTCTTAATCGCCGCCTGCATATACTACTTCTGGAGATGGTAAGCCAATGCGTTTACACTCTGTTTTTATCAGTCAGTTTTATACACTACAGACTTTTAAACTGGGTAAAAATATGGACAAAGTATTCTTTAGAGGGAGAAGGTGGACTCTGCACTAATTTTATTTAGGAAGAAGTTGTAGTAGCAGAACATCTTGATTTGATTCTGTGATTATCTCTGTTACTTATTACCTATGTGACCTTATGCGTAGGGAGTGTGATACTTGGGAGTATCAATTCCTTATACAATACAGAGAGAATTCCTCATCTTACATTAATTACAGAACTCAGTATTGAATATGATAATAAATATGAAAGTAAGCCGTAAGCCATGATGCCAGTGTTATACTTAGTCACTTGTATTTAATTTATCAGGTTGAGTTTTGTATTTGATAAAATGCAGCCTTATAAATTAATAACTCCAGAAATTTAGGACCTTAAAATGTAAGGCAGACTAATAGAAATATAGAGTCCATATACATGTTCCTTTTGTTAACATACTTTGTTCTCATTACTGTTAATTACAGTGCTAACAGTTTCATTCCTGAATATTCCAGGTACAGAAATCGAGAAATTAAAAAGTCAAGGAACGAGTATGAAAGGGTGACCTCAGGAGATCTGGCGTTGCCACAAGTCTGAGTGGTGCCACCAAGCTCATGGGCCGGGATGCACAGCAAGCTGTTGATGTTAATATTCCTATTTTATTAATAATATTTATGTTGGGTCATGTGTTAAGTCAACAATGGTATATTTTTAATATATTTGGAAACTTTTTGTTTCTTTTTTTGTATAATGTACACAAACTAATATAGAAAGAAAATTGGTATTTTTTTTTTTCTCTTGAGCTAAGTGCTTTATTGAAAGCTTCAAAGCTTATTTGCTTGCTACAAAAAAGTTGCTCAGGAAGTGTCAGCAAAGGACAGATTTCTCTAAGCCTAAATATATGGTCAAATCAATTTGATAAGTATATTTTTCTACTCCTCAAAACAATGATAATTGGTTTGTGTATACCATAGTTTGATGTATAAGTTGACTCCACTGTGTCATATATTGAACAATGATAAAATGGGAATTGGGGAGAAGCAAATATAGACCATGTACTAAACACCCCACATTTGAAACAAACTAAACGGGGAGAGCTCTGCTCTCTCCAGGCCCATCCTCAGCTCTGTTTATCTGCTTGGAGGGGAAGTGGTCAATTCCTTATTCCAACCCACAGCTCCTATGGGTACTAGTCACCTGGCTTAGATTGTCCTTAAGGAAAATGAACCAGCTTATACCATCTTCTATGCAAATAGTAGATACTTTTATAGCTTCACAGAGTTCCTTTTTTTTATGTGTTTATGTGAGGCAGCTCTTGCTTCTGAGACAATTTTTTAAAAACCCACACTTAGAGCTTCTTTTTAAGAGTATTTATTTTTGTAAGGGCTTTGCTGAATTCTAAGGTTAATTTATAGTCCAAAATTTGATGGACTAATCATTATTTTAAAGTACAAGACAACAGTTATATATATATATTGCCTAAAGACAGAAATAGTTATTTTCCATCCAAGAAATTTTTAACTTAAGAAATGAAGTAAGTAGCTTCTTATAGAATTTGAAATTCTATATTTAAAATTATATCCTGATACAGAACATGGGAAAGACAAGAAAAATAAGTCATAATGTGTTTTTCCAAATGAACACATTTATTTGAAAGTTTTTAGAATTTAGACTTAACCATTCATTCCTTATGATAAAGACTGAGATGAAACCAGAGCCTTATATTCTGTCTTTTGTTTATTTTTGAGAAGAGACTATGGTTTCTCCTATGCTCAGAGCCTATGGTCTCAGTGAATTAATAAGGATGCTTGGGGAAAATGCACAAGGAGCCACAGCTGTTACTACCTGGGGACCACATGGGAGACTGTCTCACTGAATGCTAGACCTCAGGATCACGTGCTTGATCAGGGAGGGTCTATTCTTTTCCACTTTTTGTCCTGACATGTGCCAGGGCAACAAAGATAAAAGAAATGATGGCTAACCTTTGAGGTACCAGGTGCTAGGACTTGACTCCATATATATATCCCTGCATTATATAGCCTGGTGCGTTCACATGATCCTTATCCAAAGTCCTAAAAGATAGAAAAAACAACCAACAATAACAACAACAAAAAACAAAGTCCTAAATCTGGTTCTTTACTGTTAGGGGAACAAACAAATTATATATGTATATATTTGTGTATGTGTGCATATTCACATATAAATACACATGTACATGTGAGTTCAATTAATCAAATTATAGTCATTTGTTACTTTATGAAAAACATGTAAAACTTAAAACACATTTTAAATTCTATACATACCTATGGACACCTATAAACAAAGTCTGCCTATTTTTAAGTGATCTGGATTGCTTCAGAGTATTTATTGACCAATCAAGAAATTAGCTTCAATTCATTAATTTTACATATTAATTTATCTGAAGCATCTCAACTCATACTGCATCACTAATTGTAAATAGTTAGGTGTACTTTTAATCTTCATATAAGGATGCTAATAAAACTAGCCCCTGCAAAAGTTAAGTCTTAAAAATACAAGTTAAATAATCAAAAGGCAGGACCCAGATTGTTTTTTGTGAATGAAAAATAAGTAAAAAGTAATTGCCTTAATGAGGATGCTAGGCAAACATAAAAGTAAAATTATTACAATCAGTTCATGTTTCCTATAAGCAGTGGAAATATTTTGGCTCACATTTAGTCTGTCTTCCTTATTTTACAGATTTCTCACTATATTTCTAGAAGAGGCTAGTCATAGCTAAAATACTGAGAACAAATGTAAATCCAATGTATATATGATAATTCATGGCTTCCTCTCAAGCCAAACAATAACTCACTTAACATATTCTATAATCAAGAACATAAGTACTATGATTAGTACTAAAGGTTTTACCTCAAATTTGAGATATACTGTATATATATATAACATATTGAACATTAATAGTACAATAGAACACTACTATTCTAGAATTTTTCTTTTTGCTCTCATCTTTCTGCCAAATGTCAAAGGAATGAGAGAAATGGTGCACTAGCATGATTAGTCTAACTCAGATTTTTATTTTTATGTCCTTGGGAAGAAAGCTAAAATCAATTTCTGTTAGATAATATATCTTCATGCAACAAAATGCATAATACTATAGTTTCTAATTTCTATTGATTTCAATATTGCAGTTTGTAAAAGCTAATGTCTGATCCACTTTGTCGTTTTTGCTGCAATATCCATTCTGTACACTTGGGGAAAATGCATTTATTTTGTTTCCTAATATTTTCAGTTTTTTCTACTATTATTTATATGGGAGAAAGGGAGTAATAGCTTATATAAACAGTGTTCTGGAATATTTTAATTTGAGAAAAATTTTACCTAAAACATAGCTGTTATTCAAATTGCTATGATGTTAAAAGTATTTCCCTCTCTCTCTCTCTCTCTCTCTCTCTCTCTCTCTCTCCGTAATTGCACTTTTTAAGGTTAAAGAGCCATTTTGGTATACAGTTTATATTAAAGATGCTATGGAACATTAAGTTGTATTGTCTGCGGATTAAAGTAACTTATTTGATAATGAATTTTATCAGAGTACTGAATTGTATCAATTTGTTTGTGTTCAATATCAACTTTGATAATTGTGTACCTTAAGATATTGAAGGAGAATATAAATACTTTACAAGATATTGTTAATGTTTATTTATTTTTGTTGAGAAATGGAAAAAAATTTTGAAAAATAAAGCCATGCATAAAAGCTTTACAAATTAGTCTCTTTTTCTTTTTCCTTATAATCTAAGCAAGGAGTTAAAAACAGTTACTGAGCTACAATGTGGTTAGATATAAAGACATATGGGTCTTAGTTTGGGAAAGCAGTATATAATTTTATCACATTTTATTGCCCACCATAATAAAGAATTTCTTTGAAATATAAAAGTCACATTATTTATAAAATTCTTGTTGTTAATATTTTAAAAGAGTATTTATATATTTCAAGCAAAATAGATTTCCTAACTTAATAAAAAAATAACTGGAATTATTTTGAAGAACATTTTTTTTTATATTCGATATTATTTTGTACTAGAGGCCCATTGCATGAAAATTCATGCACTGGAGGCAGGGGATGGGGGGTCCCTAACTTGGCCTGTCCCTTTCACAGTCCAGGAGCCCTCAGGGGTGGGAGGCGATGCCATGATCAGAGGAAGGAGACACTCCATCACACCTCTGATGCTGCCACTGCTGGCAGCACAAGCCTTGGTCAATCCTGATTACCTGAGCCTTGGGTGGTCTTGGGCGGCTGGGCAGCTGCCATACAAGGCTTGCCTGTGCCTTGGGCCAGCTGTGGGTGGCTGGGAGGATGAGGGTGGGTCTGGCTTCACCACACACTTGCCACTCCTCATCCCCTCATGGTGGAGCTGAAAGGACTCTGGCGGGACTAAGGGGTCTGGGCGCTGCCATATTTGTGATGGTGTGATGGTCTTTTTGCATATTCACTCTTGATTAGATAGAATTACTTTCAGGTGTATTAGATAGAATTACTTTCAGGTGTACAGCATAATGGTTAATCATATTCTTTACAAAGTAGTTCCCTGATATTTCCACTACCCAGTGGCCCCATACATACTTATCACAATATTATTGACTACTGTATATTTTCCTATGCTGTACTTTACATCTCCATGACTGTTATAGGACTACCAATCTGTACTTTTTGATCCCTTCATGTTTTGTACCCATCCCCTAAACCCCTTCCCCTCTAGCAACCATCAGTCTATCTGTATCTTTGAGTCTATTTGGTTTGCTCATTTATTTTGTTTTATAGATTTCACATAAAAGTGAAATCACATGGTGTTTGTCTTTCTCTGACTGACTTATTTCTCTTAGAGCAAAGTAGTGGCAGTATGCTGAATTCTAACATAATTAAAATTCATTGAACAACTTCTTATCTTAAAAGAGGATTTTTGTGATCACAGAACATTTAAGTAAAGACTTATTTTCCCTTTAAAAAACATGAGTGTGTGAATAACTATGTATAGTGTCAGATGGGTACCAGACTTACTAGGGTGATCACTTTGTAAGTTATAAAATGTCTAATCACTATGTTGTACACTAGAAACTAGCATAATGTTGTATGTCAACTGTAATTAAATTTTTTTAAATAAATAAAGTGAAAAAAAAGAATAAACACCTTACTAAGGAGTAACTTTTGAAAGAATACATCAGCCAGAACATGTATCATGATGCCTTAGCTTCTACCAACTCAGAGGCTTGGCTTCCCCAGGCTTTTCGAGCAGAAGAAGGGGTTCCATCTGAACTCCATCGCAGTGACGGCTTTCTTTGTTCATGCCTCAGCAACCTACAGAGTGCTGTGCCAGTTATTAGCCCCTTTGACCATGCCAGTTGGAAGATAGGGGAGGGAGGCATAGCTAAGACCATTTTACAGGGAGTAAATTATTTGTCCAGGATCACAGTGATAGTAAAAGGTGAAGCTGGTATGAGAAACAAGGTCTTCTGATCCCCAATTCCACTGTCATTCTGGCCCTTATAAAAAGCAGCATAACAATCACATGAAACTCATCAGAAATCTAGTTTAGAGCTTCCTTTGGAGAACCAGAAATTTTGAT